AGTGGACCTCCTGGTAGATCAATACCCGAGAATTCAGTCGATGAGAGCGTTATTTCCATCAGGATGTCTATGATAAAGTTAAACAAAAATGGAGAAAGTGGACAGTCTTGCCAGACACCACTTGAGGTTGCGAAAGCAGATGACAGTTCGACATAAGCTCTGGCCCGACTATTAGTGTTCGAGTAAAGAGCCTTCACAAGGTTTATGTACTTCTGAGGTACGCCTTTCAATGACAGACACTGCCACAGAACCTCTCGGTCAACAGAGTCAAACGCTGCCACCATTGTCGGACGCCGATAAGTATGCCTGTGTTCTAGAACCTGACGAATGGTGAATATGTAATCGATGCAGCCACGACCAGGTCTGAAGCCAGCCTGATTTTCACGTGTTTGCAGTTCACGAGTCTTAGTTAGGCGTCCTATAATTATCGAGGCTAGTATTTTAGATACTATATTAGTCAAACTAATCCCTCTGCGGTTGTCACAGGATGATTTCGACCCTTTCTTAAATATTGGAACGATAAGTGATTGTGACCAGTTAGATGGGATAACGTCTAACTCCCAGATTTTAGCTAAAATATTAGTCAACCTAATCGCTAAAACTAAACCACCATCTTTAAAGACCTGTGAGGGGCCAATCCATCTGGACCAGCTGCCCTTCCTCGTTTCAGATTAACTATAGCCTTTTGAACTTCAGCTAGAGATGGGGGACCTACTTCAATGTTCCATTCATACTGTCTGGGAATAGAGTGTAGTTGTAGAGTAGCTGAAGGCCAGCTAAACTGCTCCTTAAAGTGTTCCGCCCATCGTTCTAAGCGTCTGGACTGGGAGCAGATGAGAGTGTCGTTTTTTTCCGAAATGGTCTGACTTACACTTGATTTATTAATTCCAGTTTCTTTTATTAGTCTGTAGAGTTGTCTTGTGTTCCCTATAGCCGCCGCCTTTTCCATCACTTTTGCTTTCGTTGTATTCCAGATACACGGAGGGTGTATCTCGTCGGTTCTCCGTTTTGCCGAGGTGGGGTCAAGTGAATGACCACGCTAGGATCCTGTATGCGTATTTCGGAGACACAGCATACATCAATCGTACGAGATTCTAAGGTTTTAGCCAAGGAAGCCTGCTGACCGATTTGGCATAGTGTGCGTACGTTGAAGGCTCCAATGTATAGTTTGGAGCGAGGTTTCAGTAGACCTGGGACAATGTTTTGAGCGCTAGAATCGTTGGCTGTGGTGACACTTGAGGAGGAAGCTAAAAGAGGAAGTTTGGTGTAGAAAGTCGATGTAGGAGGAATAATAGGAATTGAAGAAGGAGGTTGATTATGAATACAGTGGTCTTGAGTGCTGTTAGAGGTATGAGGGCGGTTATCACTTCCCGGTTGCCCACACCGTGGAAGGGTTCTGCTGGAGGTACCTGAAAAGTAAATTGGGTTAGAGGTGGTCATAGTGACCTGAGAGCGTGACCGCAGTGCCCAAGGGACAGCTGCTTGAGGTCGGTCACACACGACCTTCTTATGAGTAATTTTTGTGTTAGCTCCGTACTTGTTGAAACCTTACCGCCGGAGACGGATATCCGTGGGATAAGGCGAGGTGTGCATTTTTAGGGTCGACCTTTTCTAACCCCACCCCTCCTTGTCGGAAGGCAGCATCGCTGTCATGCTGGTTGTCTGAAGGAGACACCTTACTGCCGTCACACCTCTGTACAGTCAGCAGTACGACTTCGCCTTCGGACCTTGGTTTTGCTGCTTTTAGTCTTACTGTTCTTCAACCGACCTGTCTGGCATGGTAGGACCTTGAGGAACGGTTGTTCCAGCCAGTATAGCTAAGTTGCTTCATCACGATAGGCAAGCCCGACCACCACGTCAAGGTAGCAACAACGGTCTGGAACAACACAGTATGGAGAAACCAGTTTTAGCAGGTTCAAACTGACAAACCAGACAGTTAGTCATAAACAGCGTAAAATCTTCCACATATATAGAGCGGTTTAGGCCGCCACAACTCATCAGCACGGTGAAACTAAACCATCAAAATGAATATCAAAGTAGTAAGTAGTATCGGTGACGGTTAAGAAGCCATCGAAAAAGAAAGACAACCCTTAAACCCATGTAAAGAAATAGGTATAAGTGTACTTTAGCGACGAGCTAATCAGGATCGAGAACGTGACATTAAGGTTTTCGAGCAGTTTAAATATGTCTAACGAGCAGTAAAGTGCCTTCACATACTGCTCGAAGGGTTCAAAATTATGGAGGAGAATAACACTGTTAAACGTATCAAACCTCTAGTTCCGCCTTTTTAGATTATATATAACTAGCGGATCAACATTATTCCTAAACCCTTGATTCTGAAACAAACCTAAATTTGGTGGTATAGCACGGTACAGATGATGTAGTCAGAAAGCTCTTGTATTTTTGAGCCCAACTCATTTAAATAGCTACATAGCATTTTACATAACAAACGATGTTAGTTTGTATGGAGTGAAAAATGTGCTTGGGTCTTTTTAAGGATTCAGGATGGATAGTCTACATCACTTAGGAAGAGTTTATATGAAGTTACTTTTTTACTTATATGTAGAGTAACCTGTAGAAAACATTAATCAAATTATTAATTGCGTAAAATCTATTTACACTTCGCAATAGTATTGTTCTCTTATCCAGAAACTATCTATCTATGAAAGCTACTTTCTGATTGGCCAGAAATTAGCCGAAAATTCGCCACGGTTTTTTGAACTCATTCCTTTGCATTTCTGTCGTCGACAAAATAATATAAAACAATACAATAATATACTTAGAGAGAGAGCCTTATGTAACTTATGTGTCATGTACACGTTTACGTACTCAGCCATATGCTATGATGGGGTTGTGAAGGCTATTCGAACAAAAGTAGGTGAAACGGTGTTTGAACCCGTAAATCATTGGTTAAAAACCGAGCGCTTCCAGTTAAAAAGTCATTTTCCGATGCTGAAACAATATAATGGGACGATGAGTGTTCCCAACATTTTACTTTTTAAACCGACCAATCAACAATTTACAATTCTTTTCTGAGCACTCCATATTTTGCAAAATCCTTTTTAATCAGATTAGCCTAGATTCAAAATAATTACATTTTTATATTAACTGAATGTATAAACCAGGGATACAAAACTATAGTTATGAGAAATCTGGGTTGGTCCGACACGGATTACCTTTGCCGTTTAAATTCTACTAAAAAACAAAAACTTAGGAGAACTACTTACTTCAGAATCGGTGGAAGTTTCCCTTTCAAGAGGAGCATTGTCATCACTACAGGTGGTAGTAACTATCTCTTTAGTACCCACAATTTGATTTTTATGTTTTTCAGCATTTTCTGGAATGGCGCTTTCCCATTCAGAAGTAGTGTCCATATTTGTTTCATGTGAGGGGTTATTTGATATATCAACTTCCATAATTTATAATAATCTATATTACTTTACTATCTAAAATGATAATAGATAAATGAATATTTTACACTCATAACAAAAACCAGCTATAATAACAATACTGATCGAAATGATGACAAAAACAGAGAGCGAATGAATTTATTCCCTTAAACAGTCAGTAAGAATTCTAAGCATTACAAAACAAATTTTATATATTCTATTGATTGGGGGAAAATAAAAGGTTGATAGAGAAGTAAGCTTTATTCCTGACGTAAGGAACCATAAATCTACGTAAACTAAACATTTTTGTACGACTTTTCTTGGAAGCATCATATTACTCGAAGTAAGTAAAATATTTAAATTGATCAAATTTATGAAACTAACTAGAAAAAAAAAGGAATACAGTCAAAGCAATGAAACTCATTTACAAAGTACAGGTTTCATGAACTCGGGTTTTGAGTCTGTCATGGAACAGGATTTGAATGATTTTCTGAACAAATCTTTGATTGTTAAAACGAATATAAAGAATGTTAATCAATAGATGAACGATCCAGAACCATTTTATGGGGCAGGTTATAGGATGGATAATATCTTGATTGATTAAAGGATAAGTGACCTGAAAAATGAAATCCTTCAAATCGCCAATGACGATTTATACTTATTTTGTGTTAATGTTTTGTATATAGGCATGGGCATTTTATTAAGTAAACAACCTTTTCTACTGCCTAATGGTTTTGCCTTTGATTTCAAATCATTTGCGGATCTGAATCAACATTACATTGCATATCACCTATCGATTAGCACTCTTTGAATACATTTTAACGATCGAAAATTCATTTATAAAATTATAAAAACGTGCTTTAGAACATAGTGACATTATTTTTGTGGGTAAGCGATAATATTCATCCATATAAATCCAATTGGTTAGGGTGAGGTTTAAACCTAAGACCAATCTACTAACTGAAAGCCCAGTACTTCGGCAGCTAAGCTATTACTCATTAGAGTAGTATTATAACAAATAGAAGTGTAGATTCATGTATAATATCTCATGTACAATAGTATCAGATTACTGGTTCAAATACAATTAGTTATTAAAAGAATCTAATAACTATAAACTAAGCAGATTACTGAAGTCATGATTTCTCAAATAGTAGAAATACGAAATAACATTCCTATTTACAGAGATAACCATTTGATTGGAAACAAAAATAGTTTTGTACTTAGATGAATAAATTGCAAGATACTTATTTTCAGAGACAGAAATCAATAATATAAATTACATACAATAATTGTGAAGAATTATTACAACAAACATTTTTGTGGCTGATAAGGAATAGATGGAGTGTGGTTAGAATTGAAATTCAAAACACGCGTTTTGTCCGATTTGAGATTAGTCAACTGAGTGTACCTGCATCCAGGAGTTGACATTCACTCCAGGACTTGAACCCGAGACTGATCAAATTTTAGTCATAAATATTAAAAACAAAATAATCCAAACCATCTCAAATTGGTTCTTCTCCTAACTGACTAAAAACAGAGTCACAATCAAAACATAAAAACTCAATCGTTTCTTGCAGGAAAAATCCATCTTATTTTGAGCACTAGAACAAATACATTAAAATAAACTTATATTTCACAAGTGTACAATATTACAAGAATAAGAAAAGATTTTATTCAAGACATTTTTTAAAGAAGACCTTGACGTTTTAAATCTTCATAGGTTTTACGAGATACAACATTGCCAACAGAATCTTCTAATTCTTCTTCAACTTCTGGACGCCAACGTTCAGCTTCTTTCATTGTTCTTATTCGTTGCCATAAAGCTAAAGCTTCTTCAATTTTTGTTACGTGAGCAAAATGAATTGTATTCGGTATGCCTAAACATCGCATACCATGAGCATGTCGCCATTCAGAAAAATGTTGTTGAAATGCTTTAGGACCACGGTATGTTTGATTACCGCATATTTCGCAACTATAATACATATTTAATCCATGTAATTTGTACAACCAATATGGAATAGGCTAAATTTATAAAAATTAAAAAAATTAGACAATTTCTATTTATTTACAATTCTTACTTAAATGTTAAAAATATGAAATTCAGTGAAGAGATTTCTTTTGTCAACGAATTCTTATCGAACTAGTTGACAGAGAAATAGGAAACTTATTTGTGTTTTATGTTATTCAATATGTAGGATCTGTAATGTCAAATGTGTCGAGTTAGAAATTAAAATCTTCAGAAAAACATAAGTTGAAAACGACTATCCATGCTGCTTCATGGAGAACATAAAAAGAAGTCGGTTCCAAAGAAATAGCTTTATATTAATCTGGAATTTAAAAGTGACTAAACTTCTGAGATGTATAAGAATCGGTTGTTCAAAGCAATTACAAGAGCGTTCTATGTAGTAGGACGTCGATTAAAATTCACAAACAAACATTTATTCTCTGTATCCGTAATAGGTAGGCTTTCTCATCTAGTTGCCTCTATGTGCAACTACCAATTCATCTATTCTTCTGAAGCAAGGTAAATAGGTTGCAGCCGGTGCTTGGTTTCAACACAGCAAAGTATATTCCAGTATCGTCCTACAAGGATGAGAGGAAACCAGTTAGGAGTTTGACATTGAACATTTAATGACTCTAATTGCTCCACTGATCATTAGGTTGATTTTGAGGTTATTCATAGAAATCGTCCTAATCGGCCAAGATTTACTTACATTTAACTCCTTAAAACAACAAAAGCTCTTACGATCTATGAAGTAAAGCCCGAACTTTATGTACAAAAGAAGTATTTCTCGTCCTTATCTTTACCGTGGACTTTAACTACTACTAATATTATTGTTATATAAAATCAATTTCATTGACTTTTCATTTGAAAATGTCCCTCTCTCTTTATTTCTTATATCCTTTTGATTTCATTCGTAATTATTGAGAAAAAAAGCATTTAAATTATCTTACTTCATTTATACCATAACCGGATGTTAGCCTACTAATTCTGCATACTTTCTTATTTGCACGAATCCAGTAGAAGCAACACAATCTCACATGGCTACTCACATACAGCCACTGCCAGGGAATTCCTACTCATTGCCTTTTCGCGGCATTACTGTTGTTTACGAAATTGAGAGGACATAAAGCGAATATCCGGCGCTTTAACAGGGTTGGTGGATACGGATCCACCTATAGGGGTTAAGAAACCATGATCCCAAACGGATGGTGTACATAGGCTCCACGACCCTGAAGGAACAAATGGCGTATAAATCAATTGTCGGTCACAGGCTACCATGGGACTGCATCTCCTCACGATGCTTCATTGTCTTGTGAATCGGACCTTTAGGTCAAAGGTTGAAAGTGTGGCCTCCTAAGAAGACCACCTGTTTCGGTTTGTGCACCCGGGCAGTATCACAAAGCACATACAAATCAAGTGACTCGTGTGGAGCATATGTATTCGATGCCCCTTTGTACCAATATTTATGTGTTCAGATAAATAAAAAATAAAACTTTTGTATACCATAGACTAGCATTTAAGGTTACATTGAAGCACTGCGTATTCTTTCTTCATCTGTCCATGAGAAAGTTATCAAATGTATTAACCCGAGGTCATTCAATCATCCAGCTACAACGTAGGACCACGCACTTATATGCATCGGTACAAGTTGCCACACTTCATTAGCACAACAAGATGAACACCAAATTCATAGAACTAGTTACTTCAATGGTAATAATGTAGAAAAGAAAGATTGCATATAAAGATATAATACAGACGGAGGGGGGAGAATTAGTTCGTATAAAGCAATTTTAATCTCACGGTTTAAGAAAAGATAAAGAGTGTATACACCTTCGTCATTATGATTGATTCGGAACCACATCACACACAGTCTCCAACCATTAGTTACGATAGTCACGCGGACCCCAATCAAGTAGTCTGCATCTACCAACATGGCTCAGACCAGAAGTTAGTGACTTCGAGCACTGATGCCACGTTTTTGTTTGGCTGCCTTTAACCATCAGCATGAAAACACGTGCACCATTCAAGCTGGCTGCCTTCAACGTTCGCATACTTATGCAGGTCGGACAACAGATAGGTCTGGCTATGTCTTTGGAAAGTCTTAATATCGACGTTTGTTGTCTATCCGAGATCCGTATTCAAGACTCTGGTGAAGTACTACAAATTCTCTCTTCATCGGATGCCTCAAAAAGCTTGTTTTACGTGCGTTTATCCGGGGACCCTGTGGCATCTTCGTATGGTCTTGTTGGCATTGGTGTTGCACTAAGCGCTAGAGCTGAGGCAGCACTAATCGATTGGATCCCCATTGACAGTCGGTTATGTGCTGTTAAATTAGAAAGTTCCATCAAATTACGAAGAAATCAGAGTGAGAAATGATGTCTTCTCGTCATCTCTGCCTACACTCTGACAGATTATAGCTACGATGCGATTAATAATGAGTTTTATCACCAGTTAACTGTTCTTCTCCAGAAAGTGAGTTCCACAGATATTGTAGTACTAGCCGGAGACTTGAATGCTCAGGTCGGGCGTCCAGGCACAGAAGGGAATCGTTTAGGTGGCAGATGGGGACTTGTTGGTCGCAGTTCAGATAACGGGGACCGTCTACTGCAGCTATGCACAGACTACAACCTGTTTCTGGCTAGCACTAACTTTCGGCACAGTCATCGCCGATGTGCCACCTGGCGTCCCCCTTCTGCATCTCAAGCCTGGACTCAGATTGATCACATAGCGATCAGCTACCACTGGTGTGGTTGTGCACAAGACTGCCGCTCCTTTTGGAGTATCTACCTGGAATCTGATCATGCTCTGGTCTGAGCCAATCTCACCTTACTTTTCAGTGGCCAACGAAGTGACCGCCACCAAAGGATCGATGTTAGCAAGCTGGCTGCAATTTCTGTTGCTAGTAAGTATCGAACCGAGCTAGCTTCTAGGCTAGCTACCATTCCACCGAAAAGTATAGATGAGCATTGGTTGCAACTTCATGACGCCATCAAAATGGCGGGTCAAGTCTGTTGTGGGTTCGCGAAACGTCCCGCTTACAAGCACTGGGTTTCTTCTGGTTCCTTACAGCTGATTAAAGCCCGTCGGTCTACTCCGGGTGACCGTGAGTTTGACCACAGACGAAAGCTGTTACATAATGAAATCGGGCAAAGCTCGTGTCCTGCCCTCCATGGCCGGTGACGACTGATCCACCAAATGAGGCGGAAGTCCGCAAGGAACTCCAACTCTGGAAGCGCTACAAATCACCGAGCCCAGATGACTTACCTACGGCTCTTTTTAAAGATGGTGGTGACTTTCTGACTAAGGGACTGACGACGTTGTTTACAAAGGTCTGGAAACTAGAGTGTGTACCAACGTCATGGAATGAGTCGACAGTTGTCCCTATCTTTAAAAACGGTTCACGTCGTTTCTGTAACAACTATCGGGAGATAATTCTACTTCCGATTGCGTCCAAACAATTAACTTCCGTCAGACTTCGTAGATTGTTCAAAACCCCAGAAAGATTGACTCGCGAGGAGCAGGCTGGGTTTCGTTCTGGTCGAGGATGTATTGATCATATCTCCACCCTCCGCCAAATGTTAGAACACTGCCATACTTATCAAAGGCCAACAATCGTAGTGTTTCTTGATATCAGGGCTGCCTTCGATTCGTTGGACAGAACTATTCTCTGGGATTGTCTATTGAAGAAGGGTGTGCCTGAGAAGTTTATTAACATCCTAAAAGCCCTATACACAAACACCTCAGGCAGAGTGAGGGCATACAACCACCTTTCTCCACTATTCCATTCAAGCAGTGGAGTTAGGCAGGGTTGGCCGAATCTCGCTATTTCCTCTCAATTTCGCTGTCGATGATGTTCTAGAAATAACTCTGACGGATGTAAGGAATGGCAGTGTAGATCTGTTGCCCAAAGAACGACTTTTCGACCTTGAGTATGCGGATGACATTGTATTACTCTGCGATGATACTCAATCCATGTAGTCCGCATTTAATCAGTTGGCGATTAGTGTCTGTAGGTATGGTATGTGCCTCGCACCTTCCAAGTGCAAAGTACTTTCACAAAACTGACAAGATTCCAATCCTGTACTTACCCTAGATGGTGAGCAGATAGAAGTAGTAGAGAAGTTCATGCATCTGAGTAGCTGCATAAGTGCTGGTGGTGGTGTGAGTGATGAGATCAATGCACGTATAGTGAAAGCCAGAGCGGCTTATGCCAATCTGAGCCATCTTTGGTGCCTTCATGATGTTAGTCTGGCTGTAAAAGGTCGGATCTACAACGCGTCGGTGAGAGCAGTTTCGCCCTATGCTTGTGAAACCTGGCCTCTCCGAGTTGAGGATGTTAGACGACTCTCTGTGTTCGATTATCGCTGTCTCCGAAGGATTGCTGACATTCAGTGGCAACACCATGTTAGTAATGCAGAGGTTCGGCATCGTGTGTTCGGTCACAGAGACGATAATACAATTGGTGTTGCCATCTTGAAACATCGACTTCGGTGGCCCGGATATGTTTTATGAATGTCGTCCCAGAGAATTCCTCGTCGTGCATTATTTGCCGATGCTGGGACTGGTTGGAAAAAGCGGAGAGGTGGTCAGTGTATGACATGGTGTCGTGGTATGAAAGAAAGCTGCAAAGGGCTAGCTTCTGTTGGTCCTTCACGACTCCCTGGATGGGGTCCGAGAGATGGTGTGACACAGGGGCTAGAGACGTTATCAGATATGGTTCAGAATAGAAGCCAGTGGCGATCCTGCTGTAATCTTCTTTTACTTTCTTCATATAAAGTGGTTGTATCTTCCTTAACTGAAAGATTTCTTCTGACTGTACCTTTCCGTTTTCCCCAACATTGTTTTCCCTCTCTTTTTTTTTATAATTCCCCACGTTCATTATATATATATATTCTCCTTCTCTTCAAATTATCATTGTTTTGTGTGGCGCATATATATTTGGTGCCCCCCTGTACCAATATTTATGTGTTCAAATAAATAAATAACCGTCGGCATTGCGCATCGTGGTAATCGGTGTTCAGGCATAAACAACACGTGGCCCGGCCATCTCCAGTCTATGAAGACTCACAACCTCATCAACTGATTTACCATCATCATTCCCTAATGCCGTGCGTCTAACCTCACTATTACTTACCTGGTGATCCTAGCAGATGCCAGCAACATTTCTAAGACATCTGCGGTCAAATATTGGTTGCTTACGAGTATCTTCTACACTGGACGGTCACGTCTCGCAGCCGTAAAGTAGAACCGAACAAACTGCCGCGCAATATACTCGTCCCTTCATTGATAGAAAGATATCTCGCCTTTGTAGGTATCATTACCAAGGTTTGATTTGATAATTTCGAATAAATTGAGCATTGGGTTGATTGTTATAAATAAATAATATATTTGTAATATCCCAATGAGTACAAAATAAGATTTTCTGACGTTTCGTGACTTAGTGTAAGTCACTTCTTCATATATCTCGCCTTCTCCATAGATGACATAAGTTGGCGAAAGCCAAACGAGCTTTCTGAATTCGTGCACAGATTCCGTCAGACATCAACCCATTAGGGTGGATTAGACATCCAACATAAATGAAATTATCGACGCAGGCCAGTTCTGGAGCAACAACTTGCATTTCGAGGAGGGAAACACATCCCAAACATCCTGGCATTGTTGCTCAGTGCTACCAGAGGACTCTGCATTTTATCAGCGTCTTCACTAAACAGGATTATATCATCTGAGTATTCTAAGTCGATAAGTGGACCTTCTGGAAGGAGATCAATGTCCGAAAATTCAGACGACGAGGACATTATTTCCAGCAGCAGATCTATGATGAAATTAAACATAAAAGGAGATAGTGGACAGTCTTGCCAGACACCACTTGAGGTTGCAAAAGCAGATGACACTTCGCTATAAGCTCTGACTCGACTGGCAGTGTTCGAGTAAAGAGCCTTCACAAAGTTTATGTACTTCTGATGTACAAGTTTCAATTACAGACACTGCCACATAACCTCTCGGTCAACAGAGTCAAACGCTGCTTTTAAGTCAAGAAAGACCACTATTGTCGGACGCTGATGAACATGCCTGAATTCTAAAACCTGACTAATGATGAATGTGATCGATACAGCCACGACCATGTCTGAAGCCAGTCTGATTTTCTCGTGTCTGCAGTTCACGAGTCTTTGTTAGGCACCTAATAATTATTGAGGTTAGTATTTTAGATGCTATATTAGTTAAATTAATCCCTCTATGGTTATCATAGGATGATTTTAAATCCTTCGTATATATTAGGACAATCAGTGATTGAGATTAGTCAAATGGGATTACGTCCAACTCCCACATTTTAGTTAAAACATTATTCAATCCGATCGCTACAACTGGACCACCATCCTTGAAGATCTCTGGAGCCAATCCATCTGGACACTCTGTTCTTCGTCGTTTCAGATCAGCTATGGCTTTTTGAACTTCAATTAGAATCGGGAGACCTACTTCAATATTTCATTAAGGCTGTTTGGGAATGGTGGGTAGTTGTAGAGTAGCTAAAGGCCAGTTGAACCGCTCCTTGAAGTGTTCCGCCCATCGTTCTAAACGTCTGGGCTGGGAGCAGAATGTCGTTTTTTTCTGATATCGTCTCACACTTCACTTTTTAATTCCATTTTCTCTTATTAGTCTGAAAAGTTGTCTGGTGTTACCTACAGCCGCCGTCTTTTCCATCTCTTCTACTTTCGTTGCCTACCACTGCTCACGGTCGTTCCTCATACTTTAATGGCTCGATAAGGGCAAGGTATGATTGACAAGGTAAACTTCTGCCATCAAATAAATAGCCATGACTGAGGACGTCCGTAAATACCAGTGGTCAACAAGTCCGAAGTGAAGTTAAGCGATAGTGCTCAATTACGTTATCACCGCAACCTTAACATCAATGGCATATTGGAGATAGCTCTGAAGAAAATATATGATCGCGGTGTAGATGATTTACCAAGATTTTTCGACCTAAAGTATCCTGATGAGTCTAAAATGTCACTGATCCACATTTCGAAGAATCGATATATACTTGTATACAAATGTCATACATATTACATGTCAGCGATTTCTTAATATTACTAATGGTGACTGAAGGCAAACGGAAGGTCAATGATCGATTAAATACTTGAAGTGCGAATAATAATGGATGATACGTCTGGCCTTAAGCAGTCTAGAAATAGCATAAAGATAAGATAAAAGATTCATGTATTATACAACATTTTTAAAAATGACTTAGTAGTTTTCAAACAAGAAAATCGGTATATATTCTTAACTACATCGAATAATGTATTACTTTTTAATGTGTATTTAAAAGGATTAGTGGATTATTGGTCGCTAGGTTTAACTTTACACAAGCTAAGGAAATTAAAGAACTAACTTTGCCATCCCATCCAAGGGGTAGATTCTTAGGATTATAAGGAATATCGTCATCCTCTTCACCATTCTGACCGTTTTCTGCACCTGTAGCATCCTTATCTGCATCTGTATCATCTTCATCTCGTTCGAATCCTATTCGTGCCTGACGACGTTGTACGTTCTCAATAGTAGCTTCGCGATGTTCTTTGACCAGTTCACTGAGTCTGTATATTCTAGCCTCTAGTGTAGCGATTTCTTTTAGCTTTTCAGATAGCGCTCTATAAATAAAACAAAGTAAAAGTTTAATATTATTATCGCCATCACAGGAAGAACACTGAAACAGATGTAACTTATGGGACTATTCTGCGAAGAATTATTGGTTATATTTTTGTAGCACAATTGTTATTGCATTCTTATGATCTCCCGCTTGTCAGCTATCTTTGGGTAAATAAATTTTCGTTCCTTGTTTTATATTCCCTAAGTTATTGTTATTCAATTATGAACATATTACCTAGTTTCCATTCACTGATAGTGGGTATGCCCACATTGTTATTTCGCATTTATGTTGGTAAGTAGTCAGGGAATTAATTAATATTATCATATGAGTTCCAAGTTATGGACTGAATTATACAACGGAAATTAATGTTTCCGTTGTTTTCTTGTTCTATATTGGTTATCGAGTAAGAGAGAGTAAAAAATTTCACTTGGGACTAATAAGTGTTAAGTATTAGTCTTAATCGCTATCTCACTATCATTGGCTTGTTGGTGGAAGGTAGGTCATTTCGCGATAGGCTAACATAAAATCATTGGTCCTTACAGGTGATGTAGGCGAACTAATCACCAACCGGAATAATCAGTACAGCTGATTCCACGACAGCGCTTCGGCTACACAGAACCCGATCTAATTCAAAAACCCTATTTTTTTATCGTCAGATCAATTTCTAACTATTTAAAAGAAGAATATTACTTACGGAGGTACATGTCCCCATGCAGCTGTCTTGGCGAAACCTTTAGTCGAGCGTTGTTTTGTAACAAACAGATCTGCAGGTAACTCTTCGAGTGATTTCCCTTTTGTAGCCCATAAGCGACGAGCTCTTTCCTCCAAAGTTCCACCACATTTTAAGCCCAACGCGAGTAACGCTGACTTAAGCCTATCAAGTCCAAGTGAAGCAAGTTCTTCCCAGGCTGTAAAAGCAGTCAAGTCCAAATGAGCACCTCCATGCGCTAAGGCAGATGCTGCCTCACGGCCCCAACCAGGAAATGTGCCTTGAGTCCATTGCGTTTCAAATTTAGCAAGCGCTTCTTTAGTTTCCTGAAGGTTTACAACATTAGATAAGTAACACATGAACATATCTTTAAGTAGTTAGAGTTGGAAGTAATAGTGAAATGTAATATTGTAAATTAGCTCACCTCTTCTAAATCCACTATAGGTCTGGCACGCGATACGAAATTTTCAAGATAACCAAGCAACTCTTCGAGGTAGCTAGTAACAAGTTATAAAATACGTAAATGCACTTACGCTTTATAAGCTATTCCCTTTTTATCACGAGATATATCGTACAATCGGTCGAAAAAGGAGATATAAGTGAGATAATCTATGCGCTACATAGAATCGATAACCATTAAAACAACTGAAAGTGACTTACTGGAACACCTTTTACATTCAGATATTTCTTATACACATCATGTAAATCCAGATAACGACCATAGCCTTCTTCATCTGAAAAGTCAATAAGTACAGCATTCGCTTCTTCTGGTCTTTCTCTCATTTCTTTGTACTTTTCAAACTCGGCAGACATTGGAACACATATCTTATTAAGTAACGATTAGCAGCAACATTTTTCAAGAAAATTACCTCGCCAGGGTGCTTGCGATGAAATTCTTTAATCTGCTTTAATCTATCATAAAATTCATTAAATTCATTTGGACCGGAAAGTGTCTGAATATCAGCCTTTCGTAGACTATAGAAAATTATACGAAAAAGTAAAGTATAAACTTGCCCATCTTTATCTTCATACAGATCTCTTAGTTCTTGTGTTACATCAAAGTACCTCTATAATCATAAAATAAAAGTAAATACCTCACTTACATCATACATAAGTCTTAAACGAAGCTCTGAATTTAACTTTTCTCTATGCTAAAACAAAAATCGTTCGATTGAATAACAGCTTACTGTGGTTGGATTATAAAGCATTTCTTTTGTCAATTCGTTTATTAGTCTTTCCCGCTCTTCGTGGATGCGACGTTGCTGTTCAAGCACCGTTTCCATATCTGATTGTTATTTACTTGCTGTAGTAGTTAAAAGTGAATATTGAAAATTGAAAGCAGTTAGTCCCTTTGATAAATTTTCATAATGTAATATGAGGACGAAGATTATCAGAACTATGTGATATATTAGCGCAATACATTTCGAACAAATTCAAACCACCTTTGTGCATTCAAAAAGTTTGTTCCCACCTTAAACTTACCCTGGTTATATTGACTTATTATCCAGAGTTTTTAAGTTTCAAATTGTGTTCACATTATTATTATTACTCTTATCATTATCTTTGTCTCGTCTTACCCCATTTCCAGTCTAGTTGACCTTTTATTTTTATATATAAATGCTTTTAACAAGTATATGTGTGATCAGATTGTTCGAAATGTATTGCGCTAATATATCACATAGTTCTGACAATCTTCGTCTTCTTATTACATTAACGGAATACTGAAAAGAAATATTTCCACACAGATAGAGATTTAATCAAGCTTTCAATAACTTCCTTTTCAGATTGTGAATTTAAAGACCAATAGATAAAAGATACCGAGGAACTGACAGGTTTATTACATTTTTTCGTCACTACCACTAACTTGTGTATTTAAATGACATAATTATATAACCTCTGGTTTCAAGCTGTAGAATACATAGTCATTTATTGCCAATCTTATAGAATCTACTTTTGAATATAATACATAATTGTAATTCATTTCCATACCATCAGTGTTTTGATCTTTATAGTTTTTGAAACTTTGAAATTTATAAACATTTGTTTCTGCTTATCCATAACATCATTTTAAATCCATCATCTAATTTATCAGCATATAAACTAAATGAAGATATACAACCTGAAAGAATCGGTACAATGAGTGATCAGTGTATGTGTCATAGTTTTAATTTCCGATCATATATAATATATTCTGCATTTAATGTAGAAGCAACGATATTAGAGGGAACGCTTTGCCTCCGAGTGCCATGGTATGACCAGGAGTGTGTTAGACCTTTAGGTCAAAGGCTCGAGGTCTGGCCCCTAAGAAAACCACCTGCTTCGGTCTGGGCACTCGGGCAGTATCACAGACCACATGCAATTACAATGAAAATGATGATATTTACTGAAAACTCTATTCTCGCTTCGATTTACAGTCAAACAATTCACATTATTATTATTATTATTATTATTATATATTAAGTAATTTATTCACTCTCTTTTATTCCAACTGTATGTATCCTTAATTTTTGACTTATACAGCAGCTCGCCTATGGTGAAAACTCGGTTCTATCTAAACGTACTCGTGTCACTGACTGGTTGAAAACTGTATGCTACCACCAAATACGAATACTGAAGCAGTTTTTCTGAAACCACGTGCACCATTCAAGCTGGCTGCCTTCAACGTTCGCATACTTATGCAGGTCGGACAACAGATAGGTCTGGCTATGTCTTTGGAAAGTCTTAATATCGACGTTTGTTGTCTATCCGAGATCCGTATTCAAGACTCTGGTGAAGTACTACAAATTCTCTCTTCATCGGATGCCTCAAAAAGCTTGTTTTACGTGCGTTTATCCGGGGACCCTGTGGCATCTTCGTATGGTCTTGTTGGCATTGGTGTTGCACTAAGCGCTAGAGCTGAGGCAGCACTAATCGATTGGATCCCCATTGACAGTCGGTTATGTGCTGTTAAATTAGAAAGTTCCATCAAATTACGAAGAAATCAGAGTGAGAAATGATGTCTTCTCGTCATCTCTGCCTACACTCTGACAGATTATAGCTACGATGCGATTAATAATGAGTTTTATCACCAGTTAACTGTTCTTCTCCAGAAAGTGCGTTCCACAGATATTGTAGTACTAGCCGGAGACTTGAATGCTCAGGTCGGGCGTCCAGGCACAGAAGGGAATCGTTTAGGTGGCAGATGGGGACTTGTTGGTCGCAGTTCAGATAACGGGGACCGTCTACTGCAGCTATGCACAGACTACAACCTGTTTCTGGCTAGCACTAACTTTCGGCACAGTCATCGCCGATGTGCCACCTGGCGTCCCCCTTCTGCATCTCAAGCCTGGACTCAGATTGATCACATAGCGATCAGCTACCACTGGTGTGGTTGTGCACAAGACTGCCGCTCCTTTTGGAGTACCTATCTGGAATCTGATCATGCTCTGGTCTGAGCCAATCTCACCTTACTTTTCAGTGGCCAACGAAGTGACCGCCACCAAAGGATCGATGTTAGCAAGCTGGCTGCAATTTCTGTTGCTAGTAAGTATCGAACCGAGCTAGCTTCTAGGCTAGCTACCATTCCACCGAAAAGTATAGATGAGCATTGGTTGCAACTTCATGACGCCATCAAAATGGCGGGTCAAGTCTGTTGTGGGTTCGCGAAACGTCCCGCTTACAAGCACTGGGTTTCTTCTGGTTCCTTACAGCTGATTAAAGCCCGTCGGTCTACTCCGGGTGACCGTGAGTTTGACCACAGACGAAAGCTGTTACATAATGAAATCGGGCAAAGCTCGTGTCCTGCCCTCCATGGCCGGTGACGACTGATCCACCAAATGAGGCGGAAGTCCGCAAGGAACTCCAACTCTGGAAGCGCTACAAATCACCGAGCCCAGATGACTTACCTACGGCTCTTTTTAAAGATGGTGGTGACTTTCTGACTAAGGGACTGACGACGTTGTTTACAAAGGTCTGGAAACTAGAGTGTGTACCAACGTCATGGAATGAGTCGACAGTTGTCCCTATCTTTAAAAACGGTTCACGTCGTTTCTGTAACAACTATCGGGGGATAATTCTACTTCCGATTGCGTCCAAACAATTAACTTCCGTCAGACTTCGTAGATTGTTCAAAACCCCAGAAAGATTGACTCGCGAGGAGCAGGCTGGGTTTCGTTCTGGTCGAGGATGTATTGATCATATCTTCACCCTCCGCCAAATGTTAGAACACTGCCATACTTATCAAAGGCCAACAATCGTAGTGTTTCTTGATATCAGGGCTGCCTTCGATTCGTTGGACAGAACTATTCTCTGGGATTGTCTATTGAAGAAGGGTGTGCCTGAGAAGTTTATTAACATCCTAAAAGCCCTATACACAAACACCTCAGGCAGAGTGAGGGCATACAACCACCTTTCTCCACTATTCCATTCAAGCAGTGGAGTTAGGCAGGGTTGGCCGAATCTCGCTATTTCCTCTCAATTTCGCTGTCGATGATGTTCTAGAAATAACTCTGACGGATGTAAGGAATGGCAGTGTAGATCTGTTGCCCAAAGAACGACTTTTCGACCTTGAGTATGCGGATGACATTGTATTACTCTGCGATGATACTCAATCCATGTAGTCCGCATTTAATCAGTTGGCGATTAGTGTCTGTAGGTATGGTATGTGCCTCGCACCTTCCAAGTGCAAAGTACTTTCACAAAACTGACAAGATTCCAATCCTGTACTTACCCTAGATGGTGAGCAGATAGAAGTAGTAGAGAAGTTCGTGTATCTAGGTAGAGCTGCATAAGTGCTGGTGCTGGTGTGAGTGATGAGATCAATGCACGCATAGTGAAAGCCAGAGCGGCTTATGCCAATCTGGGCCATCTTTGGCGCCTTCGTGATGTTAGTCTGGCTGTAAAAGGTCGGATCTACAACGCGTCGGTGAGAGCAGTTTCGCCCTATGCTTGTGAAACCTGGCCTCTCCGAGTTGAGGATGTTAGACGACTCTCTGTGTTCGATTATCGCTGTCTCCGAAGGATTGCTGACATTCAGTGGCAACACCATGTTAGTAATGCAGAGGTTCGGCATCGTGTGTTCGGTCACAGAGACGATAATACAATTGGTGTTGCCATCTTGAAACATCGACTTCGGTGGCCCGGATATGTTTTATGAATGTCGTCCCAGAGAATTCCTCGTCGTGCATTATTTGCCGATGCTGGGACTGGTTGGAAAAAGCGGAGAGGTGGTCAGTGTATGACATGGTGTCGTGGTATGAAAGAAAGCTGCAAAGGGCTAGCTTCTGTTGGTCCTTCACGACTCCCTGGATGGGGTCCGAGAGATGGTGTGACACAGGGGCTAGAGACGTTATCAGATATGGTTCAGAATAGAAGCCAGTGGCGATCCTGCTGTAATCTTCTTTTACTTTCTTCATATAAAGTGGTTGTATCTTCCTTAACTGAAAGATTTCTTCTGATTGTACCTTTGCGTTTCCCCCATTATTATTATTATTACACTACCTTACACTAATCTGTTCGTTATTGTTTTTTTTCTTTCACGCTCCTTACCTTCTTTTTTTTCTGTTCCCATTCTCTCTGTTTTGTGTGGCGCATGTATAATTTGGTGCCCACTTGTACCAATATTCGTGTTCAAACAAATAAATTAAAAAAACGTAAAAAGACTTAACTAATGTCTTCACTGTTTTACTACTCTAGTGACTTCATAAGTGAAAGTTTCGTCTTAACTTCAGTTTCTAGTTAACAATGTCACAGTGCGTGATTTGTTAGTACATCTTTATTCAGTCGCATCGAATTCTATTTAGTGTTCGCTTAGGGTAATTCCTGTTGTCTTATAAGAAACTATTAATAGCACTTTCACTTGGGTAGCTGATCGCCAGACCAAGAATCCGGTCCAGTTATGCGAAACCAAGACTCATTTGAAGGCGCTCGGAGAAGCAGTAACTCGGTTTAAATCACGAACTGATCTTAGCTAGACAACCACTAAAATACAGTTTGAAATGAATAAATGCGATCGATATATGAAGCATTAAAAATGACACCTAATTGGAGATTTGAATAGACCGGAAAAACGATTTGTATACCCGTTAGGTGCCATGATTAAAATAGGCAAAACTAGTTTTTTGTATCAGTGAAGAGGGTTTACTAGCCACCAACCCATAAGAGTGAATAGGACTTCGAAGTTGAGTTACTAGGACACTCAAAAGCTATATTAGTTACTGCTATAAACCAGTTCAAAAACATTTTACATTTTGGGGAGAGAAATTTCAAATGCTCTTTAGGTATACATCTAAGAGTCCAGAATATAGTATTCTAACTTTTTCAAACAGATCTGTTTGAAAAACTAAGTACGAGTTCAAACTTATACCTTATTTCGGAAAGGGGTAATAAAATCATCAAGATCCCACATTGTTAGGTCAGTAAGAAATGACCAACACATAACATAGCATGGTAAACGACTTAGATTTGTCTCCAGATGCTGAAAATAACAAGACCTGACACAAGATAAGACTTGCGCGTTAAGCCTAGGTATACTGGCCTACACTGCATCCACAAATACAGAAAATGATCATATACACTCATACGAACCATAAATCACGCGGCAAAGTAAGGATTGACGCACGTTATTTAGAGCCCTCGTTTGTTGCATTCTTACGTACATAGCACACTGAGACGGGTAAAAAATACTTGAACCAGTGATCATCATACATGATTTTTTAAACTTTGAGTCGATGAAAATATAAGCATTCACATAAACAGGGTTTATTGTAAGCTCTAGGCTAATATTCTACAACTTATATACAGAAGCTAGTCGATAAAACCAACCTGAGGAGCTATTTGCCTTTTCATACACCTACACTGTTCAAAATTCTCGTTGCTTCAACCATAAAAAACATATCAAATAAATAGTACGGGACGAACTTTATAACGTACCCAGGTAGCTCACAGATACTAAAAACGCGCTACTTTGGACTAAGCATCCATACCTTACAAAAGTTGCCAACAAGAAAGAGTGGGGAAAATATTTCTTTGAAAAAATTACTGTAGCTTATCGCAGTGGATAAATAATGACTATTTTTAGGTGTAAGAACATGAGTCATAAGAAATAGATATATAGTGAATAAATATGTGTTAATGATAAATACATTTTAGTTTTATCCCAGTGAGTAGAAGAATTTTATCCATGACGTTTCGTAACTTATCGTGAGTCGCTTCTTCAGGGACAACAAAAAACTTATATTTGTTATTAACTCTCTTCCTAATGCTCCATTCATTTGAAACTATCAAATCCAAGCTTGGTATTGATACCTATACAGAGCTACGTTTTTATGAAAGTATTTAGCTTTGTTTTTAATGGTTGAAGGAAGTTTCCTCGAACTAAAAAAGATTAAAAATGAGTTCCTTGATTTGACTGTCCCTCAGGAGTATAAAGAAGCCTACAATTAACATGTCATATTATGATTTTAAACACCATGTAACATTTCAATTGTTAGTGTTAGGACAGAATCTAATTAAATGTTTTAGGTGTTACAACCAGGACTAACTTCAAACGATAAATTATTTCTTATTTTAATTCGTAATTACTCTTCCAGAAAACGAAGTTTCACGTCAGTCTTACTGTAAAGGTCAGTAATTTACAGCAGGTTTCTACAAATGAGATACTGACCTAGGAGGGTTGATAAAAAGATAAAATCTATGAAAATTTGTTGTACAATACCTACAAAGGCAATCTAAGATGCTGTCCTTCTCAATCTCTGGTAGTGGAGGAATATCGATAGTATTGTGGAGATAGGTCTGTCAAACTTATTTCGTAAATAATTTTTAATATTATTTGTATTCATTTTGTCAATCTTTCACTGTGTGTACATTTATTATTAAATCATTGTACCTGTTGTTTTAGTAAATGACCTTGATCACTTTTTCCGTTGTGATACTAACATAGCGTGACACTTTCTGTGATTGTCCCAAATACACTACTACACACATGCCTCTCGTTCTAAATTCACTTGCATTTGTGTTAACTGAAGTCTAAAGCAAGTACCATTTATCTTTACAGACGATAATTGGAATATACCATATTTATTACTTAATCATATCATTGGGGAACCCATCACACTCGCAGGAATTATTAATCATCTATAATTGTGGATATTTAACACCAGATCAAATTGGAACACGCGCTCTCCTGGTAAAATAAGTAACGTTCCTTATTTCTATTGTGTTTATGACATTTAACTTATATATCTTTAAATATTGCTATTTGTTATAAATAACTATTATTACCTTTTGGATTAATATATTATCTGGTCCACCACAATTATTTGGTGAGCCTAGAGTGTATTTTAGTTTTATTGTTTATATTTCTACTTGAAACATTAGTTTTTTTTATATCATGAACTCTCCAAATAAACTTATAGATATGGAATGTCCCCCAATGAAACCCCTTGATTCATTACATACAGAAATAATATTTTAAGTTCAGTGAATGCCATTACTGAGTTAAGATTACCACATAATGTGAGACAAATCCCTAGCGTCTCAGGGCGAACTGTCGCTCTCGAGGATTTAGCCGACATGGCGGACAAGATGATGGAGATCTACCCCGACAAGCATTGTCTAAACGCGATACAAACTTCTGGTAATGGCGATACGAACACAACACTCAACATTCAGCAACAATTAACACAGTTAACAACTCAGTTAGCGTCATTACAGGCTACTATTGCGAGTATCCATTCTCGACCTAATAGATCCAATTCTAGAAAAAGAGCAGAGTCAAGACATCGTTCAAGGTCTCCCAAGAAGACAGTCGGTATTTGTTGGTATCACCAAAAATATGGCACCAAAGCACGGCGTTGCACAAGACCGTGCACATTTTCTGCGGCTGACTCAGAGAATCAGGGAAACGAACTGGCCAGACAGTAGTGGCGGCGACTGTTTCTGGCCACACAACGAGCCGTCTATTTCATGTCAGGGACCGAATTTCGGGCTCAGATTTTTTGGTCGATACAGGGGCAGAAATCAGCATTATCCCATTGCACCTCTCTAAACGACGGCACTCTCCAAGCAACAAATTATCCCTAGTTGCGGCCAATAACACAACCATTAAAACTTATGGAGATCAATCACTTATCCTAGACCTCGGTCTCCGCAGACGTTTCACGTGGGTTTTCATTGTAGCTGAAATTAAGCAACCCATTCTCGGAGCCGACTTCCTAAGTTCCTACAAATTATTAGTAGATATGAACAACAAGAGGTTGATTGACCGATGCACACGTTTACAAGTAAATGGTACGCTTGCTACTGACTATGAGATTTACGGTGTTCATATAGTAAAACCGGAAAACAAACTTTTCACCGACATTCTGAAGGAATACGATTGTATCACAAAAATAAATTATCAAACGGAACCCACAGCACACCACGTACAGCATCATATCATCACTACGGGACCACCCATTGGTGCTAAAGCAAGGAGACTTCCACCACACAAGTTACAGATTGCTAAAAGAGAATTTGAACATATGATGCAACTCGGAATAATTAGACAATCAAACAGTCCTTGGGCTTCGCCGCTGCACTTGGTTCCAAAGAAGGACCAAGATTGGCGACCATGCGGAGACTACCGAAGATTAAATAATCAAACTATCCCGGATAGGTACCCCATACCACATATACACGACTTCTCCTTAAATCTACATGGTAAACAATTTTTTTCGAAACTTGACTTAGTAAAAGCCTATCATCAAATTCCAATGGCACCCGAAGACATTGAAAAAACAGCAGTAATCACACCTTTTGGTCTGTTTGAGTTTTTGAGGATGCCATTCGGGCTGAAAAACGCCGCACAAACGTTTCAGAGGTTTATGGACGAAGTTACACGAGGATTAGACTTTGTATTCGCCTATATCGACGATGTTTTAATCGCTAGTTCATCACTCGAAGAGCATATCCAACACTTACAGATCCTCTTCGAACGTTTCAAAAAACACGGTGTTGTTATTAATCCTGCTAAATGTATATTCGGTGTTCCAGCCTTAGAGTTTTTAGGACACTACATCAACTCCCAAGGTATTAAACCTCTCCCAGAGAAAGTCGAAGGCATCATTAGCTATCCAGAACCAACCTCTGTAAAATCACTACGACGTTTCCTTGGGACATGCAACTTTTATCGACGATTCCTACCGCATTGCGCTGAAGTACTACAACCGTTAACTGATTTACTGAAAAGCGATAAAGCAGGCACCAAGAAAGAAAAGAACCAAATGTTCAAATTACCTCCTGATGCCAAAGCAGCATTTGAGAAAGCTAAATCTATGATAGCCAACGCCACGATGTTACAACATCTAAATACTGACCCCACAACCCATCTGATTCTGTGCACGGATGCTTCACAGAAAGCCGTCGGGGCAGTACTGCAACAGCGGGTAAACGACACAATTACCCCCATCGCCTTTTTCTCGAAGAGATTATCGTCAGCACAAGAACGTTATAGCACTTTTGGACGTGAACTTTTAGCTATATATCTAGCCGTCAAACATTTCAACTTCCTGCTACAGGGTCGTGATTTCACTGTTATGACTGATCACAAACCCCTTTGCTACTCCTTTAGCACTTCGTATGATAAGCATTCTCCTCGGGAAGCCAGACAACTGGATTATATTTCTCAATTTACTACAGACATCCAGTTTATCAAAGGCTCTTCCAACATTGTCGCTGATGCTCTATCTAGAAAGGACATTAACACGATAGTACACAACGACATCAGTCTCGAAACTTTAGCTAAACTCCAAGTAGACGATGCAGAATTAAAAGCCTGCCAAGAGAAGTCTAACTTGAATCTTAAACCAATACCCACGCCTTTCTCAGATACAACTATCATTTGCGACACTGCAACCGGTAAAAATCGCCCCTTCGTGCCACAACCTTATCGCCGAAAAATATTTCAACAGCTACATGGACTTTCACATCCAGGAATCCGAGCCACAACTAAATTGATTACTGAACGTTTCGTGTGGCCAAAGATTAACTCAGATATAAAACGATGGACTCGAAGCTGCCTACAATGTCAACGCAGCAAAATTCAAAAACACACAGTCAGTCCTGTTGGGAAGTTCCCTTTGCCGGATAAACGTTTCCAACACATCCATCTAGATATAGTCGGCCCCTTGCCGCCATCAAAATCATTCACGCATATACTCACATCGGTGGACAGATTCACAAGATGGGCTATAGCATGTCCCATCGCCGACACCTCTGCAGAGACAGTAGCCGCTACATTCCTTGACCGATGGATATCAAACTATGGAGTACCATCTATCATCACTACAGATCGTGGTCCCCAGTTTCAGTCTATCTTATTTCAGGAATTCACAAGACTTCTGGGTGTGAACCACATTAAAACGACAGCTTATCATCCAGTGGCTAATGGTCTGGTCGAAAGATTTCACCGCCAATTGAAAAGCGCATTGATGGCACAAACTGATACAACAAAATGGAGTGACGCACTACCACTTGTACTCCTGGGAATCCGTTCAACCATCAAGGAGGATTTAGGATGCACTTCAGCTGAACTAGTTTACGGTACTACATTAACATTACCGGGTCAGTTGGTCGAGCAAGAATCAATAATGTCAAATGATCCAAATGGTTTCGCAAGTCGACTATTACAAACGATGCAACGCATTAAAGCGATACCTCCGCGCGAACATAACAACCGCATACAACTTGATAAACATCTATAGGCCTGCAAATTCGTTTTTGTTCGAGTCGACGCAGTGAGAAAACCATTGAAACAACCGTACGAAGGACCTTACAAAGTAATTAAACGAACAAACAAACATTTCATCATCAATAAAAATGGAAGGAACGAGACAATTTCCATAGACCGAATAAAACCGGCTTTCTACGAAATTCTTCAAGACGCGGAAGACAATACTACGAACGAATCACCACTCCCATCTATCGCTAAGAAACAAGAGGAAAAACAAAAACTTAACAGTACCCCCTCTTGTTTAACACGTTCTGGGAGACTTGTAAAAA